AGGTCTGAGCAGCTATCAGTCTGACTAAGTACACAGCCATGTTGTCTTCTGTTCATGAAACAGTGGTAGGTGTTCCAAACTGGTAACAATTTTGTACTTTTGAAGAAAGTTTGCAGAATTTGTAAATATTTTTCCACTTGTGTACTTTGATTTGCAAGGAAATGAAAAACAGTGACAAAGCCCTAAGCAAATTTTGAGATCAGGATTTAGAGGAAAGGAAACTAGTGCTTTCTTGAAATTCAAAGACTGCACTCAAAATAAGAGATAAAGTGTTCCAAGCCAACTACAGATGTAGCTTTTAGGTCTAATTTCACTCCACCAGCTGTCAGCATTCCTGAGTGATGTGCCAGGAAGTTAGCCATCTGGAGATATCTCTACAATCAACAAAAAAATATAAGCACCTACATAAGGTAATTAAAACTGAAAGTGGACTGAATTATCTGCTGAATTCATCTGTCTCTTTCTAATATCCAGAGAGGAGCAGAGAGTGACTTGCCTCTTCATAGAACACCTTTAGCTGTAGCTTCACTTTAGGCAGTGGGGTTGTTTCAGCCACTAGGCCTAACCTCTGCTGTCTCTTCCTTAGCCACTCGTACAAGTGTTTGTGCAGCTGAACAATGAACTGGCATAAGGACTTGATCTGGATGAACATTAAGGGGAAAAAAAAATTGGTTTCAGACAGATAAATTTCCCCGTGGGTTCACCATGCAGCTGCAAGATAGCTTTACTGACAACAAAAGGGAAAATACAAGAGATAGGGCAAAAGCAGTTAAAGGAAAGCTGAAGAGGGCACAGGCTGCTTAGGCTGGCATTTTGGAACCTCAGCTTCAACTAAGATTAAGATTCAGTGGAACAGCAGCCTTTCAGTTTTCTCATACTGATCAGAAAAGTCAGAGCCCCATTATTCAAAGCATTGATGCACTATAAAATTGTTTCTGCTGGAGCGAAGTGTTTTAATGATCTTGAATGGTTATTTTTCTACCTATTAGCTAAGGCTGCTTATGTCAAACCAGTTATTCTAATAACTTCCCTACCATTGACTTGCAGAAAGATAGTGTAAAAGCATAAAGGTAGTGAACTTTGTATTGTGTACTCTGCCTAATTCAACAGATAGGCGATCATGTGCACATATTTGATCCAGGTCAAATGTGTTGCTGGGCATTATGTCAATGCACAGATCTTGATACTAATTACTGTGGAAACACAGCCTGAGTAGCTAGAGTTAAGATAGGTTGAAGCAAAATCTTAGTGTACCAAGACACATTCTGTTCAAGTAGTTGTAGAACCAGATAACATTTCAGAAAACAGAAAATATTTTTACAAAGTTCCCCAAAACTTAACTTCGCTGTTCAAATGAAATGCTCAGTCCTATGAAATTAACCTTGTGAAAATGCTTACGTATTAAAGGAACTTATCACATCAAGCACTGTCTGGAAACTGTTGAACCAGCAACAAATGTGATGCTGCTGTTTTGAAGCTCAAGATAACAGTAAACTGATAGCATAACCTTTCCTCTGTGCTGCTAAGTACATTAGTAGGCCATTAGTATTAATTTAATAGAACTGAAGATTATAAAAAAAATTATTTTTTTCCTAATGTCTGACTTCAGTAAGGTTTAGTACAGAGAAAAAACATAACTGGTTAGGCATTTTGCCCCTAGACATAGCACTCTGTTAAAGACAGACACAAAACAAAACCATGTCATAATAGGCTGGAGGCTAGATAACAACCATTAGCCCCTGCTGTGAAAACAAAGCAGTCTGCACTCATGTATGGCTGACTGAATTGATCTGTTTTGCAATCTTCCCACAAAATCTTTAATAGGCAAAGCTATCTAGGATGTAAATATCGTGGTGTAAACAGAACAATTCAAAGATCAATTTTAGCTCTATTTTTCCAAGCACAGAATTCAATTACACACTTATTTTCATTAGCCAAAACCAGAATGAATAAAAACATGGCTCACCAAGATAAAATGCCCATAAAAATAGGAACCAGCACTACTGTTACTAGAACTTAGCTTGAAGAATTCTAACACCTACCTGACAAAAAAAACCAACCAACCTAAAAAACCAAATGGTATCATGCTGTCACCATGCAAGACACACGTCCGGAGGTCAAAAAACACATACAGTTTGGAGATAAAATGTCCAATTCAAATTCACTGAAATCAACAGCACAGCAAGATTAGGTTTATCTCAGTATAGCTGAAGTTGAACAATCACGAGTTGTAGCTATATTAACAGCATTAGGAACATTCCAGTGAGTTGATTCAAATGTTACACAGCTCTCTAAATCATCATAGTGAGCAGTCCTTTGCTTTGAAAAGAACATTACACTGAGAACTGTATTATGTTCCTCACACCAGTACCTGAAAAGGTTACAAAATGCAGTCTTAATGCCACATGAAAATCTACTGTAATTGCAGTACCTGTAGTTTCACTGCAGTAATCAACTTGAATAACTTCGTAAGCTGTTCACAGAAGCAGTTACAAAAACTGTCATATTTATATTCATATTTTAAGAGTTAAACCAATGAATTGTAGAAGTTATGTAATTATTAAGCCAATTTTGAACTCCTAAGAAAATATTGATACAATACACTGATCCACTTGTATGCAAACACTTCTAGTTTCTTCTGTAAAGTGACAAGTATCTAAACACATTTTACCAATATTTGATTTTTACATATGCTCCAGGAGTCTTTTTAGCTTGACCAAGAGAGGGTAAAAGCAGGAATATTAGCCAAGTAAATCACTGCTTCACACAGAACCTGTAAAAGCCTTAAACAGCGATCTTTAGTATTACTGGGCAGACTGCTTGTTAGCTATTCTCAAAATATCCTGTACAGGAAGTCATAGTTGAATAATGTCTCACTATATCCTTCCACTCAGAGTAGACTATCTTACACACCTTCTTCCAACTCTTATGCACTTGAGTTGAATTGTGATACTGAACTGATAAAAGCATCATAAAAGCAACAAAAGATTTAGTGATCAAGTGTTAATTCATAGCAAAATCCCAGATGGAAAAAGAGGGCCAGGTTTACTTGTGTAAGCACTATTCCTCTCTCCATGCCTCATCATGCCTTAGTCAATGAGGAATGGGTTAAAGACCAGTTGAGCAATCTGGACATCCATAAATCCATGGGTCCAGATGGGATGCACCCGCGGGTGCTGAGGGAACTGGCTGAGGTCATTGCTAGACCGCTCTCCATCATCTTTACCAAGTCTTGGGAAACGGGAGAGGTGCCTGAGGACTGGAGGGAAGCAAATGTCACTCCTGTCTTCAAAAAGGGCAAGAAGGAGGACCCGGGTAACTATAGACCGGTTAGCCTCACCTCCGTTCCTGGGAAAGTGATGGAACACCTTATCCTTGGTGCCATCTTAAGGCATATCAAGGATAAGAGGGTTATGAGGGGCAGTCAACATGGCTTCACCAAGGGGAAGTCGTGCTTGACCAATCTCGTAGCCTTTTATGAGGAAATAACACGGTGGATGGATGATGGCAGAGCGGTGGATGTGGTCTACCTTGACTTCAGCAAAGCGTTTGACACGGTCTCCCACAGCATCCTTGCGGCTAAATTGAGGAAGTGTGGTCTGGATGATCGGGTAGTGAGGTGGACTGTGAACTGGCTGAAGGAGAGAAGCCAGAGAGTTGTAGTCTATGGGGCGGAGTCTAGTTGGAGGCCTGTATCTAGTGGAGTGCCTCAAGGGTCGGTACTGGGACCAGCATTATTTAATATATTCATCAACGATTTAGATGAGGGAATTGAGTGTACTATCAGCAAGTTTGCTGATGACACTAAGCTGGGAGGGGTGGCCGACACGCCAGAAGGCTGTGCTGCCATCCAGAGGGACCTGGACAGGCTGGAGAGTTGGGCGGGGAATAACTTGATGAAATATAACAAGGGAAAGTGTAGAGTCCTGCATCTGGGCAGGAACAATCCCAGGTTCCAGTATAGGCTGGGGAATGACCTGTTAGAGAGCAGTGTAGGGGAGAGGGACCTGGGGGTCCTGGTGGACGACAGGGTGACCATGAGCCGACACTGTGCCCTTGTGGCCAAGAAGGCCAATGGCATCCTGGGTTGTATTAGAAGGGGGGTGGTTAGTAGGTCGAGAGAGGTCCTCCTTCCCCTCTACTCTGCCCTGGTGAGACCTCATCTGGAATATTGTGTCCAGTTCTGGGCCCCTCAGTTTAAAAAGGACAGGGACCTGCTGGAGAGAGTCCAGCGCAGGGCAACTAAGATGATTAAGGGAGTGGAGCATCTCCCTTATGAGGAAAGACTGAGGGAGCTGGGTCTCTATAGTTTGGAGAAGAGGAGATTAAGGGGTGACCTTATTAGTGTATATAAATATATAAAGGGGGAGTGTCACGAGGATGGAGCCAGGCTCTTCTCAGTGGCAAACAATGAAAGGACAAGGGGTAATGGGTACAAATTGGAGCACAAGAGGTTCCACTTAAACCTGAGAAGAAACTTCTTCTCAGTGAGGGTGACAGAACACTGGAACAGGCTGCCCAGGGAGGTTGTGGAATCTCCTTCTTTGGAGACATTCAAAACCTGCCTGGACACGTTCCCGTGTAACCTTATCTAGGTGTTCCTGCTCCGGCAGGGGGATTGGACTAGATGATCTTTTGAGGTCCCTTCCAATCTCTAACATACTGTGATACTGTGATACTGTGAAATGTCATGAAGACATTTGTGACACAGTCTTCCATCACTTGGTCTGATAACTTCATTGTATCTTTCTAAGCATACAGGTTATATAATTTTTTAAAACCCTGGCAGCAGTTTAATGTTTAGTTTATTCCTCTTATTGTCTGCATAAAGTACCCCTGTGATCCATATTCCTCACTCCAGTGAGGCATCTTAGTATTTTAGTATTTTAGACAGTATCTTGGGCTGAATCATAGTATTCATTTATCACCTCTTTGTGACAGGAGTATTTGCCTTAAGTCATCCTCTCACTCTTTAAGAGACAACATGAAAATCTTACCTGTCTTTCTTTCTACATCCTGAATCAGTAGAATATTGGAAATGATGTGTGTTATGTGGACTCAGTTCTCAACTCCCATTTTTCTAAGATCAACTTCTGTAAGATGGAATAAGTCCTGCAGCAAATGCCAGAGTAAGGAACATACTATACCTACTAGTCCAGGATAATTCTAATTTCTCTCAGACAAGTTTGCTGTTTCTGATCTGTAAGCTACGTAACAGCAAATGTAAGTATATTTATACGCTATATGAAGCCCTTTTGTTGTGAAAAGCCTTGTCACTGAAGTGACAAAGAACTTATCTTTTAAAGCATTAATTCATTGTCTGTTTCTTCTCTCAAAAGTGGTCAAGATAGACGGGGAGTTTCTAAAAGTTATTATTCCTTTGCACAATAATTTGTAAGTAGTGCTAGCATGCCAACTGCACTTAAGCTAATGAAGAAAGATAAATCTCAGAGTGAACTGAGTGGCATAACAATATCGGAAAGGAAAGGCTTATATCATCAAGAGGACAGTCACTGTCAGCATCATCATGGCTTGACTTCACGAACGAAGATTTGGGAAGGGCTTTACCCACGCTTACTACAAGCGCGCTGATGACTAAAAAGGCCAATGTGAGGTAGGCAAATTCAGCTGCAAAAAGCACAGTGAAAGGTCTCCTTGGGCCTTTTAGGCGGGGCGTGATTCTTTCTACGTTGTCTTTTCTCCTCAAGACTAGTTCTGCATGAGTTCTCAAAGGAGTCAATAGCATTATGTATGGTGTGCCTCCAAGTCTCCCGATTGGAGGCCAAGGTGGACCACTGATGGTAGTCAATATGGCCAAGGCTAAGGTATTGTTTCAGGGAGTCCTTGTATCTCTTCTTTAGGGCATTTCTCTTGGGGCTACTGGTGGGAAATTCACCGTAAAACACGATCTTAAGGAGGCGGTGATCCTTCATCCTAGAGACGTGCCCTGCCCAGCGCAGCTGCAATTTCAGCAATATGGCCTCGATGCTGGTGACCCCTGCCTGTTCGAGGACAGTGACATTAGACACAGAGTCAGTCCAATGGATGTTTAGAATTGTACGGAGGCTGCGCCAATGAAAGCATTAGAGGAGTCGCAGGTGATGGCAGTAGACGACCCATGATTCAGAGCCATATAAAAGAGTAGACAATACAATGGCTCTATAGACACTGATCTCTGTACTTCAGGTGTTTATTGCACCAGACTCTTTTATGGAGTTTTTGGAAGGCTCTATATGCCTTTGCTATTCTGTTGTCTATCTCTTTGTTGATCGTGGCATCCGAGAATCTAATGCTTCCCAGATAGCTGAACTGCTGAACTGACTTAAGTTCTGACTCGCCAATAGTAATGTGGGGATGATGGTAATCTTCTTGTGGTGCTGGTTGGTAGAGAACTACTGTCTTCTTCAAGCTGACTTCCAGCCAAAAAGCTCAGCTGCCTTCACAAAGCAAGATGCTAAACGCTGCAGAGCTGCTTCTGTGTGGGCAACAAGGGCAGCATCGTCAGCAAAAAGCATTTCATGGACAAGATGATTTAGGGTCTTAGTGTGGGCCTTCAGTTGCCTTAGATTGAATAGCCTACCATCAGTACGATATCGAATATAAATGCTGTTTTGTTCGTCAAGTTCTACCGTAGCCCTTTGGAGCATCATGCTGAAGAAGATTGCATATAAAGTTGGTGCAAGAACGCAACCTTGTTTCACACCACTGGTTATTGGGAAGGGCTCAGAGAGTGCATCACCATATCCGACTTGGCCTTGCTGACCCTCATGTAACAGAATAATCATTTTGAGGAATTTGGGGGGACAATCCAAGATCAGCCACAGGCCTTTTCTGCTCACAGTATCAAAAGCTTTGGTGAGGTCAACGAAAGTTACATAGAGCCCCTTATTCTGCTCTCTACACTTTTCTTGCAGTTGCCTGAGAAAAAATACCGTGTCTGTGGGACTTCTATTAGCCCTGAAACCACACTGACTTTCAGGTAGAAGTTCTTCTGTGATAGCGGGTACTAATCTGCTCAATAGTATTCTTGCAAGAATTTTTCCACCAACGGAGAGCAGAGTTATACCTCGGTAACTTGAGCAGTCTGACTTTACACTTTTTTTCTTATACAGAGTGAGGATGATTGCATCATGAAAATCTGATGGTAATTTACCTTGTTCCCAACAGCACACAACTAGTTCATGAAATTTAGCATGAAGTGCTTGGCCTTCATGCTTCCAGATTTCAGGTGGGACTCCGTCAACCCCAGCTGCCTTGCCAGTTTTCACCTGCTGTATAGCCTTAAGAGTCTCTTCCATGGTAGGGTCTAAATCCAATTCGTTTTACACCAGATGCTGTAGAATGTGCTGGATTCCTTCGCCTTGGACTACACGGTTAGCACTAAAGAGTGTTCGAAAATGTTCAGACCAATGATTCAGGATGGAGATTTTATCTGTAAGAAGCGTTTGGCCATCTGCACTAAGCAAGGGGCTTTGAACCTGAAATGTGGGTCCATACACTGCCTTCAGAGCCTCATAGAATCCTCTGTGGTCACCCAGATCTGCACATAATTGAGTCTTTTCTGCTAGGTTGAGCCACCACTTGTTCTGGATGTCTCCAAGTTTCTGTTGGAGTTTGCTACATGCAATATGAAAGGCTTCTTTTCTTACCTGGCAAAGTGGCTGAGTGAGGGGTCCTTGATGAGCAGATCTCTTCTTTGTCAGCTATTGCTGGACTTCCTGGTTGCTGTCGTCAAACCAGTCTTTGTTTTTCTTTAAGGAGAACCCAATGGATTCTACGGAGGACTGCAGGATGCTATTTTTAATATGTTGCCAAAGCACTTCAGGAGAACAATCTATAAGCTGGTCTTCAAGCCTAGTTTGAAGGTTAGCCTGAAAGCTGGCCCTCACTGCAGCTATTTGAAGATTATTAACATTGAGCCTCCTCCTCGGAATGCCGCCCCTCTTATATTCAGGCTTGAAGTGGAAATTAAGTTTGCAACGCACAAGGTGGTGGTCTGTTTGACATTCTGCACTAGGCATTACTCGGGTGTGACAAACATCATGAATATTTCTCTTCCGCACTAAGACATAATCAATAAAGTGCCAATGTTTAGATAGAGGATGCATCCAGGCTGTCTTCCAGCTGTCTTTCTGCTGGAAAATAGTGTTGGTGATGGTAAGCTGTTGCTCTGCACAGAATTCTAGTAAGAGGCGACTGTTATAATTGCAGCTGCCAACACCGTGCTTGCCTAGTACTCCTTTCCAGGCTTCAAAGTTCTTACCTACTCAGGCGTTGAAGTCACCAAGGATTATGATCTTATCTTCTATAGGAACCTTTTGAGTGAGGTGACGCAGGTCGGAGTAGAATTTTTCTGCAGGGTCAGCTTGCAGAGTTGGAGCATATATGCTGAAAAGAGCAACGTGTTGCTTATTGTGTAGTGGAAGACGTAGGGAGATAATACAATTGGAATGACCTGTCGCAGATTTTCAAGTTTAGAGACTATGGAGTTTTTAATCATGAAGCCAACTCCAGAGAGATGACTTTCAGTTTTGGATTTGCCTGACCAGTAGAGTGTATAGGCGGCACCATGTTCTTTAAGACTACCTTCCTCATGAAGGCAAACTTCACTAAGAGCAGCAATATCGATGTTGTGACAATTCATGGACAATTAGCGCAGAACGGCACTCAGGACACCCGCTGTTCTCTGTATCAAGCATGGTTCTGATGTTCCAACATGCGAGTGTCAATCTGGACACATCTTTGGAGGCAGGTGTATGCCTTTGTCTCTTTGTCCTTAATCGACCGCAACAGAAGATGCCCGTTGGCAGCGGCTAGTAAACCAGGTGGAGGGGTAAATGAGCTCTGGCTAGGCCAGCTTTTCTAGGCCTTTCTCCATATGGAGCAAGCAGTGCCCTCCTTGAAAAATAAGGCTGCTTGGTCATTCAGAACGTTGCCAAACAAGACTGTCATCTCCTGGGTCAGTCTCGAGCCACCAATGTCCTGAACCGCCTGCATGCAGGGTTGGGTCTGCAACTTCCAGTGCACTTTATCACCTGCCGTTTCATCCCTCACCTGTCACTACAAGGCTTTGCAAGTGTGGGTAAACCCTTCGGGCCTGCACAGTGGATTCTTTAGGTGAGGCACAGCATGCGCGGAAGTGGCCCCACCCTTTATACCTGAGGTTTATCTGCCAGGGCCTAGCGAGCTTGGACAGTGACAGCAAAATCCTCAGGTCGTAGGTTTAATTAGAGTGTCCTTATCTTAGATGGATGGCCTTACAGGGCTTTACGAGCTCCATCTGCCCGGGTTTGAAGTTGGAGTTGTCCTTCTCTTAGGATGGTTGTCTGAAGGCTAATGAGCTCATCCTGCCCATGGACACACTTTGTCTAACCCTTCAGTTGAGACCTGTCTGGCATAGGAGACCCTACCAGAGGCATGTGCCACCACCAGCATAGCTCCCAACCTCACAAGGGCACGCAAACTCTTTCCCCACAACAAGGGGGTGTCCGCAAAAGAGACTGTCACTGTAATTAGTAGATAACATGGGTTGCGACACTGTTTGGAAAAACATGAATTTCCAGATTATACATTTGGGTAATCAAATATAACTCTTATCTTTTTATCCCTGTTTCCTGCCACAACATCATTACTATTTGATTTTCAAAATAAGTGCAATGCACTATTTAAAAATCAGTACAAAATTTCAATTTGTTGATTCGTAAGTATGTACAACATTTCATTTGAGGATGACACCTTTTAGAGCAAAAGAAAACACAGCCAAAGCAGAAAATTGATGATCAAATGTATTTCTTTTCATTTCTGTGGTTCTGCACTTTCACTGTAAATTAGGTAGGGATAAACCCATAGGATGCACTACCCTTTGTTACTGGCAAGTTATATTACTAAACCTGACCTTAATGGAGATTTGACAAGTAAGGCCTAGGATCCTAAAAAACAAAAATCACATTGTTTCACTATGTAAACAAGACGACACAGAATTCCTACTCTAAATGAGCCACTGTTTTTGAAGTGGTAATTTTTGATTCCCTCTTTCAAACTAAAACCACTGCAAAAGCCTGTAATTCTTTGATTTAGACTGAGTAGACCTCCAATTGCTGAAAGCCTCTATTTTTTTATGTCACTTGCTGTAACTGTTTCAAAAGCTATTAGGTAAATATAGCTGTGCCTGAAAATACCCTATTAAGTTTTTCTCAAATGATACCTCATATGTATCTAATGAGATGAAAGAAAGAAGTTGATTAATTATTATTCTTACATTATCACTTTTAAGGTTTACCCAAATGCAAAAATTGGTTCTAATGATGCATTCACATTTGAGTAGAAAGGACTTCTCAGCTTTTCAAGAGTGACAGAGGCTCCCTCTGCTTTCCTCAAAAAACCTCAGCACCCTCCCATCCAAAACCCACAAAATCATCCTCTAAGAAAAATGGGGTACACATACAAAGAAGTAAAATGCAGTCTGCCTGTTCTTCAAACCTTAGAAAAAAAGCTTGTAAGGAGGAACACAATAAGGGCTGGTGTTAACCCTGGTACTGAACAGCATATGCTCAGGGTAAGAGAGTTGGAGCTTTTATAGACGTATTTGGGTTGGGAATTTTTTAGTAGCTTTAAAGAGCTTGCTGCATTTTGCAGCAGACAACACTAGCATGTGGAAGTTTTGTCAGGGAGAAGCTTCCTGACATGAAATTTTTTTCTTTGTTCAAGTACATAACCATCTTCTGATTTGTCTTAAGAACTGGCTACAGCAGTTGCAGTTGACTGCAACCCAAGAACTCTTGTCTTCTACTGCCATGTATTTACTACTTACCTAAGAACAATTTAATTCAAGAGACTGTACATCACTGTCCTCAAAAAAATGGATATAATCATACTTGCTACTGCAGAGATTAAAAACCCAGTGTAAATAGTTATTAGTAATTATTTTGAAAAGTAGAATACATCAAAGAAAACTACTCAGAATTTTAAGAACTTAGAAGCTTGATTCTTCAGCATATATCCTTGTATTAAGCAGGTTAGTAAGTATGTGAAATCAGGTTAAGTTAGGTGTTTTCTCAAAGTGTTGGGTTAGGAAAGTATTCAGTTTGGCTGAGGAACTAAGAAATGATAAAATGCTTGTAATCTACAGATATTGCAGAAATGAAAGCCTGACTCATGGCCTTGAACCTCAAAAAAGTCCATTGTATGCAGAGTGATGCACTAAGCCTATTTTTAAGTTTTGCACTTCAGCAAAAACTATTCCAGGCAGCATTCAAGCTTTGTAAACTGTAAGCTGTCTTTGCCGCAGGTTTTTTGGTGTTTTTTGATTGTCAAAACAGCTGTCCCAGGGTTCTATATTATTGTCTATTCTGTGTCTTCTGTCTTACAGTGAGTGTGAATGATAAAACAACATTTTCCAACGTGCTTCTGTCTTGCTGACTGGGTCCATTTGGCAAAGAAGAAAATGATGTCCTTTTCCTAGTTGTGACAAATTCTACTTATATTTCAAAATCTGTTTTTATTTTGCTTGGATTATGAGATGACCATGACAAAAAGAACTCTGGTACACCAGCAGCACATATGTGACACTGAAATCAATTTTAAATACCCTTCAGTGCTACTTCATGAAAATTGGATTATTGACAAGAACACATCTATTAAAAATTTGTTTAAAAGTGAATCCAAAGATCTTTCGACTTGATAAGAACATTCAGTTGTGGGTTTGTTGTGGGGTTTCTTTTTGTACACAAATGTTCTGAATTGGAAATACAGTGAGACCTAACTAAAATATGGCAAATTAGCAGTTGATTATATAGTATGTAAATTCAAAAATTCTGTATATGGATGATAAGAACCGAAAACACAAAATGGACAATAAAAAGAAATTTTGATCAAGAAATACCTGTGGGAAAAGGGCTTCTTAAGAATTTCTATATAAATTTCTAGGGATCTTCAAGATTACTGATGGAAGGCCCTTCTGTAACATGGTATTTGCTCAACAAAGATTATTGTTAAACCACATAGTACCCATTTATCTAGAAACAACGTCATATAACAATTGACACAAAAGTGTATGTTTTACCTAACACCGTATTTTACGAAAGAAACTTCACTGTTAACTTTTACAGAACAAAAGTTACTTATATGTTCTTATTTTTGTGAACATATACATTTGTTACCATATCTGAGACAGCCACAACTAACATAGGGCAAGCAGCATTAAAAACAATGTTCATTTTGCCTAGCTCCCCAGTAAAAGTCTATTTCCCTGGGAGTCTTAGTACACAGTTACAAAAGGCATTGGTTTTATTTCCCCCTTTCCTAAGACAAACACAAACTACCAGCCTTTAAATTTTTTGCACCAATATCATAGTATGGAACATTAATCACTTTCATCAAATCATTTTGCTTGACATTTTCTCAAGAATTTTATTAATAAAGCTAGTTCCTACCTCTATGCCATCATATTGTTCAAAAAGCATGCAATATTCTGCAAGACCAAGCTGGCTCAGACAGTTACTAATGGGTAGGTACTTCATTATCTATTCCCTCACTGCACAATTCCTTTGACTCTGAAAAACAAAAATAAAACAGCATTACTAATACTATTGCTTAGGAATGATAAATGACAGAACAACTCATAAAGTAGTTAATAGCATAGAAGTTCCACCATTGTGACTAAAGAGATTAATACTTTCTTGGCAATAGGCAGTTATCCATGCATTATGGGTACTACATTTAACTCATTGCTTCATTGTGATCTTCACACAAACAGGGAATGGTGAAGACTGTTTTGTTTAGCTGTCACAGTTGAATTAATCTTTCAGAAGAAGATGAATCACTCAAAATAGTTGCACTAATTTTAAAATACTCGGGCTTTGTATTCAAAGAGAAAGTTCCTCAATATGCTAATTCAGTGATAATGCCATTCTTCTTACATATGTAACACATGACCATGTATAAAATGAAGAGGAATAGCAAAAGTGGAAGCATTATCTGTAGGAATAGGAAGGCATTAAATGGAACTACATATTCTGTATGACAATCAAAAATGCAAAAGATTCTGTGATGGGTATTTGTCCAAGGTATGACCATAACCCAAGTGAACCTATCATGAAGTATTTCTACACAAAAAACAACTGCAGGATATTTACAGCTTGCTTTCCATCATGGTGCACTTTGTACATCCTCATTGCTTCCTTAAGGCCAGGTTTATGTGGGCAACCTGTTCTAGTTAAAGATGTCCCTGCTCATTGCAGGGGGTTGGATTAGACGAGCTTTGAAAGTTCCTTCCAACCCAAATTACTTAATGATTCTATGATGTCATCCAAATTTGAGTTGCATGTAAATAAAAATACTCGTAGTAATTTTTTCCAGTGCTAAAATGAAATAAAAGATATACATTAAGATGGATATGATATACACAGGAAGACAAAAAATAGATGTGTAAAATATTCTCCAATCATCACTGCTCTATGTAATCAGTTATGCAAGATCTACATAAAAAATGATGCCGCCCTTGTTGCCCACACAGAAGCAGCTCTGCAGCGTTTAACGTCTTGCTTTGCGGAGGCGGCTGAGGTTTTTGGGCTGGAAGTCAGCTTGAAGAAGACAGTAGTCCTCTACCAACCTGCACCGCAAGAAGATTATAGCCATCCCCATATTACCATTGGCGAGTCAGAGCTTAAGACAGTTCAGCAGTTCAGCTATCTGGGAAGCATTATTTCCTTGGATGCCACGATCGACAAAGAGATAGACAACAAAATAGCAAAGGCATATAGAGCCTTCCAAAAACTCCATAAAAGAGTCTGGTGCAATAAACACCTGAAGAAAAGTACAAAGATCAGTGTCTACAGAGCCATTGTATTGTCTACTTTTATATGGGTCTGAATCATGGGTCATCTACCGTCATCACCTGCGACTCCTGGAACGCTTTCATCAGTGCTGCCTCCGTACAATTCTAAACATCCATTGGACTGACTATGTGTCTAATGTCACTGTCCTCGAACAGGCAGGGGTCACCAGCATCGAGGCCATATTGCTGAAATTGCAGCTGCGCTGGGCAGGGCATGTCTCTAGAATGAAGGATCACCGCCACCCCAAGATCGTGTTTTACAGTGAACTTGCCACCGGTAGCCGCAAGAGAGGTGCCCCAAAGAAGAGATATAAGGACTCCCTGAAACAATACCTTAGCCTTGGCCATATTGACTACCATCAGTGGTCCACCCTGGCCTCCAATCGGGAGACTTGGAGACACACCATACATAATGCCGCTGACTCCTTTGAGAACTCACGAAGAACTAGTCTCGAGGAGAAAAGACAACGCAGGAAGAATCGCGCCCCACCTGTTCCACCCAAGAAGACCTTCTGCTGTGCTTTTTGTAGCCGGATTTGCCTATCCCACATTGGCCTTCTTAGTCATCAGCGCGCTTGTAGTAAGCATGGGTAAAGCCCTTCCCAAATCTTCATTCGCGAAGTCAAGCCATGATGATGACATAAAAAATATTTAAGCTTCCAAAGAATAGCTGAGTTCAAGATTTCTATTTGCAAGTTTGAACGTATCCTAAATAAATTCAAGGATGCCTAATTCTAAACATATATGTTATGACCTAAACATTTCCTATCACAGCACTGATGCCAGAAGCAGGAAATGCTCATGTTCAGGCATGTAGTGTCTTTAATCATACATTTTTGATTTCTGATTTCTGGTTTTTGGTTTTGTGTTTTGTTGGTGTTTTGGGATTGTTTGTTGTTGGTTTTTTTTGTTTTTTTTTTTTTTTTAAGATTTTCCCCTCCTCTGTGCTTGAGGAAAAGTACTTACTCATTAGCTCTCCATAAACCAACTGGAATGATGACTTTCCAGCCACAGATCACTTGTTCCAACACATCTGTCTACTCTGAGCACATGACAAGAAGCTGCCCAAAGGCTGACATGTTATGGTCTGCAAAGAGTGAGTGTTGCTTTACATCAGACAGAGAAAGCTGTTTAGCATTTTTAGAGTTCTTGGAACACTATTCGAAAGTGCTGAAGCTTCTATTTTTCTTTTTTTACACTACACATTGCAACATATAAAATACTGTCCTGCAGAAAGGCAGGCCACAGTAGCAGTACTGTATTGAAATATGATACATTCCTAGATATAATTTAAAAGCATTTAAATTAGAACAAGTACTCTAAGACACACACTGTTTTGTACTAGACACCTTTCTGGAAGCTACCATGAACTTCTTCAATGGTCAACCTCAGAAGCAAGTCAAAATAGCTACAGTTCAGATACTCGTACAACACCATATTGCACAAGATGTGATCCTGGAATTCATCATTTAATGAGCTATTAAAGAACAAACCTGCTAATTCACAAATCACATGGTGAAATCCCTCTATCATCCACTCGAATACTCTGCTATATTACTTGCTTCATTATGGTGTTTTTATCATTGTGAAAATATTGCAGGCTGGGGATGACAAGCATATATCTAAAGAATGCTGGTAGTATAGTAACTAAGAACAGCTTGTGAAGTTACATGGACCAGAAAATCTCAACATTAAGTGGACACACCACAAAAGAATTTCTCTGAGGAATGTTAAAACCACAGAGAACATTCTTATGTGAGGCGAGGACAAGATCAACCACTGAAATCTTTCATTTATTGGCTTGCTTTAAACAGGTACTTTCAGATTGCAAGTTGGTCAGCATGAAAAGCATATGATTTTCAGAGAGATAAAAGGAAAACACAGTTAGTTGGTTAGGATGTTAGTAAAACCATGGACAAATAGCTCTCTTTGGTTCATACTCTTTTAATGTAGTCACAGATTTCAGTTTTGTTGTCAAAAAAAGAACTTGTTTTCAAAACTGTTTAACAACTTCCAAAGGAATAATATTTTTAAGACTATAAATTTGACATTTCAGGTTGAATACTTGGCTTCTATGCTAGTAGATGACAAACAATATCTACAAGAACTGGTACAGAGTCACCATAATTACCATTCCAGAACAAAGATAAATTCTGCACTAAGCATGAAAGGAATCCCAGAATTTCCACAGAGCAACATTCTCTTTAAGCAATAGTGATAAACAGTGGCTATCTAATCTTACTTGTCTTACTTGGCCTGCTGCATTTGGTCTGTTATTAATTTATACCAAATGAACACCACCCCCAAAACCCCCACAAAAATTCATGTGCAAGCAGAAAATTAGTTAACCTTATATGACAGGATACTAAGAGATACAAGATGCAGTGTCTTCAAATGTACTGCACTTACACCTCTGAATGGGATTATTTTCTGGCATACTTTTAGGTGCTATTAAGCCTTTGTTGATGCTTGTCTAGATTTTTCACTACTGCTTGAATGAAAAATTTGTTCTTAGATGTGAAGGGGGATAAAAAATAACCTCCTTTCTTCCACGAAATAACTAATTGCCTTCCTGACCCTTCTGATAATGGTAGTTTTGCTGAAGAAAAGTAACAGAAACATTAACTCAAGCATCTCTTATTCAACCAATATTACATTGTTAATTAGACGCAGGCTACAAACTAGTGGTCAGGACATAACACATATTGAAAGCCTGATCAAGGTTAAAAGTAAAGTGGAATTATAAAATAAGTTGTAGAAGACTCCTCGTATATATATAATTATGAGAACTAGGTTTAGGCAGAAAGAGTTTCCTATTATTCTTCTACTTTTACACTACTTACTTCTTCTTTCTTTCTGAAAGTAGGATTAACTGCTGCTTAGGGGATGTAATGCCAACATTTTTTAGCATCCAAAACAGAATTACAAACACACCAGCAAAGTGTGTAGCAGATGTTGGGCACATATTTTTTTCACCCACTAAGAAAATAGGATATTTTCTTTCCAGAAGAATAACAGAAACAATGATATAAGATAGCAGAGGTATTGGAGGGCAATACAAGACCTATGTTCTAGTTACCCATTCTAAAGACTCACTTCCTGTACATCTCAGGTTTCCTGCAATAAAGAGACCATCATAGGGTTAGTCAGGGATAAACCCAGGGTTGCTCCATGACTTGCTTCATTCTGTATGACTGTTTCTTCAGTTACAAGCTGAAGAGTGAAGTTAACGGTATTCTGAAATCCGTATGCAGAAGGTCTTGCAGTACTATCGACTTACTTATACAATTTCAGGGATTTTTTACACCAAATTAGACAATCCAAACCCAGCCTTGGTTTTGTACAGTTCTGTTTCTGAACACCAGCTGTTCAGAGGCTTTTGTGAAATGAAATAGCTCCCAGAAAGTTAGCAAATGGATAATAATGGGAGGTTCCTATGGTAGCACTTCTGAGCTACTGAGCTGAACTTGGCTTTCTGTATTATCTTAAAAACATGCTCAAAGTTACAGTCATACATATTGGGGAATATTTGAAGGAAGATCATAGAGAAAGGTTTTTCAATATGTAGGTTTTAAATTCAGTGTTCACACTGCAATGCTTTACTGATAATTCACTGGTTTTCTTCTTTCTTTTATCACAACATCCCAGAACTATCAAAAGATTCTGCTGCTGATGTTGGCTTGTTATACTCCAGACACAAGCTGGACTCTTAATTCAGCTATGACTTTGCAAAATTAGCTTCAGTGTCATTTCTGAAAATCTCATATGTATGTATTGCAAAGACACCAAGGTTGAATAACTCCAAATCACTATATGGAAATATAAAGTATTCCAGGGATAACCATTAATGCTCTGTTTTCGGACCTCCCTGGGAATGAAAAATTAGTTCCTACATCTGAAGGGGGAAAAATGACAAGGAGCAAGCCATGTATCATGGTGTAATCTGTTCTGGCCAGTTACTCAGGTGAACCAGCTATTTCATCTCATCTGCAAAGTCATTTCCCTTGTAGCACCTTTTCTACTTCAGCAAATTGGTTTGTATTGTACTTCCAAATAAAAACTAGCCTCCTGCTGTGACACATCCATTTCTTAGGGAAAAATTATTTATTGGACAACTGTATGAGTAAGAGTTTTCTTAAGGATTTTTATCACTTGACGGTGGCATACCTTCCTAACTAGCTCCTTGAATCAAGGGCCCACCAGTTGTGTTCTCAGATGAACTCAGATGTACTTAGATTTTCCTCTGGCACCACTGAGATCAACAAACTCTCTAAATTACAGCCTCAGTAAAGCTAACCTTCCCATACAACATTCTATACACCCCAGGTCCTGTACCGCAGCACAAACTAATGACACTGGCCAAAGGTCTGCTCTCCTTGCTGATCACAACCATTCATGCTTAACTAAGCAGTTTAGACAGGTGTTTCTTGAATGTTCAATTATAATGCATATTTGAATGGCAGAAAGGTTCTGAATGCAGTAGATAGAATTAAAAACTAGAAAAGCTGATAGTGATCATGATGCTTGTGATGCCACATGTCAGATTTTACCACCTGAATACATCTATTCTTTTACAGCCCAGGTCATGTTTCTATTTCTCCTCTCCCTTCTTTAAACAATTTGCCAGTTTCTGTAAAGCACATTGTCAGTAATACAGTTTAAGACAGTGAACTGTGTATTTTGGAAAAATCTCAGCACTTGTTCCGTAAAAGGAATATTAAATGCAGAGTGGGAAAGTCAGAGACACTGATCAATGCCCAAAGTTGATTTCACTTCTATGGCAGTGATAACATCTTAGTGAGAAAAGTAACCTTCTCTGAGATTAATGAATATAGTTATAGTAAACTGCCACAGTTACTGTGAAATTTGACTGAGCCTACTGCCTTAAACTAAACAGACATTTTCTAGTTAGCATGGCTCTCCTAATCTAATCAGGCTATAAGTTGGTAATACACTGATCAAAACCAGTGTACTATAAAGCCATTTCCATCTTTCATTATAGCAAAAGGGAAGGGCGTCTGCAAGACAGGGCAAGAGACAGAAGCAGCAAAAATACCTGGAAAGCAATCCATCAGCAGAACGTGTCAGACACTGATCAAATAAACACTGGCACTGTGCACTAAACGGTCCAGAGAAAGCACTTCTTGGGCCAATGACTGTGGCTGAAAGGAGTGGGAAACTATGACTGAAAAACCTGTTTCCCCTACTGTGTCAATCCTTTTCTAGTCACAAAAATAGCTTGGTACATTGCATATGAACTGCAATACATCAGAGGTAAGCTACCACCATTTTTTTTTTCTTCAGATAGGAACAATATGCAAAGCTTTAAAGTTTTGGTTAACTCTGCATGAAAAGAAATAATAGGCAACAACTACTCATCATGTAATAATTACTACAGTCAGATTCCATCTCCAGCCTTCCATGAAAAAACATCTTAGAGTGGAAGAATTACCTCAAAAAATGTCATAGATATATGACCTTTGTACAAACCACATGCAGAAGGCATCAGGGGTGGAAAGGGAAAAGGAAAGCATGAGAACATAACACAAAAAAGGCTAATGTTACAATGATGGCTTGGCACTGTCCCACACAATGCTGGAGATTTATTGTTCACAAACATGGCAATATTTGTGGTGTACAAAGCAAACTTTGCCTGTACCAAATGCATACTTAAAATATTGCAAAGGAACTATTTTCTTACAGTTCTATAAGCCTTTAGCTATTATACTTTGAAGAAATGTGAAAAAAGATGTAATAGAGAATAAATGTATTCATATTCCAATAGACTATCTAAACACAGCTTTGCTTTTCTCTCAAATTCATTTGACTACAAGCATTAGTGTTCAGTTGCTGTCAGCAATGGTTACATGTCTGGTGGCAGCACTGCTGAAGCCAGTTTACATAGCTACCATCTATTACTAGCCTCCAACTCAAGTGATTAAGACAGGTATTTCTTAAGTTAAGTGCTTGTTCCTTCCTTGCACTGATTTCTTTCCTGTGCCAGCTCTAGCATTCGCTTAACTGCAGTGAAGAGGATCAGAGACTTGATCTGGCAGACAAAATGACCCATAGGAAGCAGTTGTTAAGTCAAATCAGGTCTCTTA